CATTGCCACACGATTGCTAGACGAACGTCCTTCTGAGCTCGTGTCTTTCTTCTCGGACAGTCTTCTGGGCAGTCACGAGCAAAATGTCCAAAACCTTTGCAGTTGTGACATTGTAGCTTCTTTCGGTCCTTTTTCCAGCCTGCTTTCTTCTTACCTTTTCTCGGTCTTTCTGATCTTTCTGACCAGATAACAATCCTGCCATCCCCTATTTTCACTTCTTCCGGAGGATCCAATTCCTTTGATTCTACAAACCAATTACTATTACGAGTAATATGGCTGTACGCACCTGAATCATCAAACAATTTTGTTTGTAATTGTTCCACCGTAATGTCCTTCGTAGGACAAATCCGCCATACTTGCTTGAAGTTATCAAACTTTTGCGGTAGACCACGAACAATTTTTGTAATAATCATTTCCTTTTCGATGTTTAATTTTTGCGCCTTGAGCTTATTTTCAATGAGCATAAGCCCTGAAATATACGACGTCACAGTCATATCGTCTTTCCAGTGATAGTCGTTGTATGCTTCCAATGCAGCTAGCTTCGTCGTGTTTGAAACCTCGTCATAATGTCCCACGAGAGTCTTCCACATATCAGCGGATGATTTACAGGCGACCACCAAATTAAAATGTGCATCATCGAGAGATTTACTTAACAAAGACCTCGCCGAAGCGTCCTTCTTTTTCCAATCAGCCAGTGTGGCATCCGTTGGTTGCTCTCTCGATCCATCAGCCACATCAAACACATCGTTTGCTTCGAGATGAGTCTGAATTTCAAAACGCCAACGAACGTAACTGCTTGAGTTCAATTGCGTAACAGACTTCAAGTTTATTTCCATCCTTGCAGATTCAAGCGATGTTATTTGGACCTCTGTCTTCCTTGCACACACTATCACTCTCCTTTTTTTTTTAATTATTATTATAGCCGTTCACACTCCTGGGCCCATAACCTATTGGGATTTTTATTGCTGAATAAGATAAAAATACAGAGCTTGGTTTCTGGCGCGTGCGAACAATAATAATAAGGTTAGGTTAGTACGAGAAGGGTGCTCACGCCATCTGTCAGGTAACAGATATAATAATAAACAAGAACACGTGATATACATATAGTGGGACTAACATACAATCAACAACAATATCAATCCATTATTTGATTTCTTATTGGATATAGAGTGTGATCGAGTTGCCACCACGAAAGTTGCTTCGAAACATTTGATTAACCAATCGAAAGAAGGAATTTTACTAATTGACCAATCAAGAAATGCTTCGAAGCATTCATAGCGACGATTCGACGCACCCATAGTTACATGATGAAGAATTAGTAAAAATTAGATTTATTATTTTGTGTTCACAACTTCATCAACATTTCTTCCTCCTCGATAGTATAAACTAGTCATTTATAATAATCATTAAATATTAAGCAATACACATATTTTATTTGTATCATTTTATTTATAACCAACAATAAATATAAATATATTTATAAATATATATATATTTATGATAGAATAATGATCCACTACCTACATTCAGACCATGTTCATATATTACTGCCAGTTGACTATCACTGAAAATCTGTAGTATACGAAATGGGAACTATAAATTTTCAGTACTGATAGTCAACAGGTAATAATATATATATATATAGTCATATATACAGGATGTCCTAAAAAGATCGGGGTACCTGAATATCTCAGAGAATATAAGTTTAAAAAAAGTGTTTCAGACAAAAGTTGTAGAGTTCAAAAAGATCTATTTACTGATCTTATCAGTTTGACCTTGGGTCGCATCGCCAAGTCAGGTCAAGTCACACTAATCTTTTTAAATGGAACTCTGTACTTTTGATTCCAGAATCTAATAGCTGGTGTTAAACGCTTTTCAAAACGCTACGATAAAATTATTTTTCATAAAATTTTCGAATTATAAGGCCTAAAAGTTATAATACCGATATTAACATTACTCGTTCGACTGATAGCTAAAACCTTTTGAATGTTGTTCAGGATCATGTTTTCTGAATAACATTTGTCAAGATCAAGATCAACGGTGATTGTTTCTCTTATTTTCATTTTTGCACTGAAAATTCATTTTTATATAAAAATGAAAATAAAAGAAACGATCTTTAGTGACCTTAATCTTAACAAATATTATCCAAGACATGATCCTGAACAACAGTTATTTTAGTACCTGTTCCTTTAATTTATTTGTTTCTCCAAAACTTAATTTTGTCTTTTATTTATTTTATTCCAATATTGTCCTATAATATTGTCCTTTACTCTCCTTTATTTTTAACATTACGAAATTCTTTTTTAACTAGTTCCAATGTCTATATAATATTATATTAATGAGCAAATTTTTACAGAAAATATTTTAGCTTTCTCTCTATATAAATACAATTTGTTTTTAATTATATTTTTTAATTTTCTAAATTAAATTTATTCCATTTTGTCCTTTATTTATTTTATTCCAATATTGTCCTTTATTCTCCTTTATTTAGACATTACGGGAAATTCTTTTCTAATGTGTTCCAATGCCTAATATTATATTAATGAGCAAATTTTTACGAAAAATATTTTACAGTTTCATGCATATAAATACAATTTGTTAATTATATTTCTTAATTTTCTAAATTAAATTTATTCAAAGAAAGAATTGTTTTGATTTTTTATTATTTCGAACTTTTTATTTCAAGATCAAGAGTTTGTTCCAATATAGTCAAATCAGTTTCGAACTATCAAAACACTGCATTATCTCAGTTTAATTATACTATGCAATAAAATTTTATAATGCACAGATTCTTGATAGTCACAAACTGGATATCGATTATATTATCTGACATTGTCAGCAATTTGCTGTCAGAAATATGACAAAGCCTGCTAGACAGCATTTGCTTTGTCAGCAAATTGAGAGCAGAATCTGATTTCGAGCAAACTCTGCTCAATTTCTGTCAAATCTGTTGGCATAGCTACGGTGATCATATTTTCCCAGGATATTGATCATATAACTTTTTCTCTAGAGCGGAAACGTGAAAAGTGAAAATTTTTATGTATGTATTTTTATATATGTTTATATATACATATACACACATATATACGAGAAAATTTCACTTCACATTTCCGCCCTACGAGAAAAGTTACATGATCAATATCCTGGGAAACGATTGTGTATTTTGAAATGAGTGAAATTACAAAAGTGAGGTGAAAAGTGAGAATTTACTAAATGTTAACCAATTGAATTATGAATATTCTAGTAAATTTGTTCACTTTTGTATTTGAAATTTTCATTTCATTTTGAGATGCACAATCGACCCTCTGGTTTGAAAACATGTAGGAACAAAGCCCTAAAATTTTCAGATTTATCCTTTATTTTCTTTAAGAAAATATGATCACGTAGCTATGTGAGTAGATTTGGGCAGTTTGCTCGAAATCAGGTTCTGCTCTCAATCTGCTGTCAGGTTATGCAGATTTTGCTTTGTTTGGTTTCTGCTAACAAAGCATGTCTAGCGGGCTTTGTCATTTCTGACAGTAAATTACTGACAATGTCGGATAATATAAACTCTGGGTACAATTTATTACCTTTCTGCAATCAAAAATATATTTGTAGCAGGCCCTGCTCAAAATCTGTTTCCACAGACTTTGCTATCAGGGTAGGAGGCCCAAATATAAAAGCATTAACAAATTTTACATTTAATTATATTCCAATGAAAATTGGGAATAATTATTCAAACTTATCTCTTCTCAAAATAAAAAAAAATAGCACTTTAATTTACAGTATAAACTCACGAATTTTAAACCATGTTAAATTTTGAAAATCATACGGTATTGAAAATCATATGAAAAAACTTTGATATATCTCGTAATAAATACCAATTGTCAAGAAAAATATTATGTCAGTTGTAGCGATAATTGTTTCACAATTTTTTGATTCCTAAGGACAAATTGAAAATCTTTTGCAAGAAATCATATTACAGAATTTTAAGTAGATTCGATATTACTACTAGGAGTCTACCTTTTCTTTTAATCGATATGGATATTCATATAGATAATACATTAATTCATATATATTAATATAATTTTTCAGGATATGGTCAAGAAAGAGGCAGTTTAGTGACTAAACTGTACAACAATCACTGGCAGGCATTAGATATAATCTTATTGGAAAATATTCCATGGTATTTGCTGGTTTATTTACATTCCATTACGATAACCTGTAATGAGCAACAAGTACATCCGTGTAAGTAAACATAAAAATAATAAATGTAAGATAAATGGAGTTGCCAGGAAATTTATTCGCTATAGAATGTGTATGATTTAGGCGATCAATAAAATTTACAAAAAACATTTTATTATTATGAAAACTACAACATGATTAAACGTTGGTACATTTTTTATTATTACAGTGGCGCAACGTTATTTACCTGGAAGGGAGAGGAAAAGTCCATACTATTTAGAATTAATCCTGCGCCTGCCGCCGCATTCGGTAACGAAAATCACCATCGATATGGATTACTTATTCCTCAAATGGCAGGAATATCCGCCGGACGCTAATCATGGATTTTATATGGGACCAGCTATAATTACAGCATTATTGCCCATAGCTAGAAATTATACCGCTTTGCCGTTCGATGGAAGTACAATTACTTCAAGGTTCGTTTATTTAGCAATTGTTTCTTTTGCTAAGCAACAACACAAACGAAAATTTTTTCTTGTGTTATCATAAACAGATAGGCGACGATTGAAGTAATTATCGATTATTAAACTTACAGTTTTAACGCTTCGAGGGATGATTATCTAGTACAATTACGGACAGAGTCCTTGCTTATTAGTCTTCCGACTCCTGATTTCAGTATGCCTTATAATGTCATATGCCTTGCCTGTACAGCTGTTGCGCTAGCATTCGGCCCACTTCACAATATTTCCACGAAGAGACTAGTTTTGAAACGCATCGAAAAGGACTGGAAGGGTAAATTATTCTCCTTTTTTGCAGGAAAGCTATTCGGAGCAAAGAAAAAACAAGACTAAAAATTGTAAACGAACTATATGTATTATAAACGCGCAAACTGTATCTCTCTTGCGAATAAAAATATTCATGTACTTCTCTATGAATAATAAACAATTTTAATAATAAACAGATGCAAAATTTTTTCTTAGTAATAAATCTCTACGATTATCGCAGAAATTACGGAGAGACAAATTTATCTGTTTGAACTTCTCTTCTAGCAGAAGATATGCACCTGTATTTAAAATAAAACAAAATCACTTTTTAATCTTTATCCAATGTAAAATTTTGTAATACTTGTCATAAGTATTAAATAGTGCATTTACATATCCTGTTCTGTATTGTATGTTTACATATTTCTATTTAAATTATCCATTTATATATATGAATCAAAACTTATGTTAATATTGTAATAGATTATAGTAGATTTTTGCAAGATAAACTGCATTCCTTGACTCATATATATATATATATATATATATATATATGTACACCAAACTATTAGAGGAGGTCTCCTATTCAGTTTAAAAGAATGTAATACAGCAATTAAGATAAGGTAACTTTGAATATTGAGAATGCAGTATTTTTGAATAAGTAATTAAAATTAATTATTCAATTCATATTTCTGCATACTTTGAAAGAATGTAACAATATATGTTTACCATTATATTATTGCTATGCATATAAATAAAAAGTTAATTTTAATTGCTTATTATTTAAAACTGTCACGCAATGTCTCAACATATTCTTTTACTTTTCCTTTATCACAATTCTTATTGTCTCTTCCTCCCTCCCCCTTCCTTCTTGTCATGCTCGCGCTCACTCATTTATTTTCTTTTAAACATGATAGGAGAAATACCCTATATTCTGTAACTGAACGCAATCTGACTAAATCGATGTTCTATTCATGTAATATAACTTAGTTTTTTTATTCAAAGTTTCATAAAGAAATCATAACAGTCTTATGATAACCTAACACAAAAATTCAACTATTGTATTAATAATCAGAATAAATATAAGAAATATAACACATGTACAAGTTGTAAGTCATCACTTATATAATAATAAGTAATAGCTCACTGTACGTTAATTTCGCATTTTTACGATACAATTTACGAAAGTTAGAGAAAAGTATACGTTTTTTTTTCAAATAGTATTCAACAATTGATATTTATTTCTGCTGTCATCTTCGTTCAATATACTATTCAATAACCGATAATCTGTCGATGAGCGTGCGAGGTAAATGCAAAGTTTTGCGTAAAGTTTGTTTCGGTGATAGTCTTCGTAAGAAGGACTTTGTGATTGAAGACTCTGCGGTGTTCATGGGATCTCTGTTCTCGTCGCACGACGTCCGAGTACTCAAATCGTTTTCTTCTTCGTCAGACGAACAGAGATCAATCAACATTATCGTATGTGATGGACACTTTTTCTCTTTGGCTGGTTTGGTAGCCTCGGCATTGTCCGTAAATGATTTCACAGCAGCAAGCGCGATTAAAGTTTCTTTAGCTGATGCACTAATGTTGGCTTCTTCTTCTTCAACGACAATCGGATCTACATCATCCTCCAGTGGCGCCTTCCGTTTCGAAGATACAGATACGTTTTGCGTGTGGGCTGTCTTTCTCGACTTCGTTTTACATGCTGGTCCTGCTTTTCTCATTAATAAAAGTTTCCGAACATTAATACTCCTCTGAGAATATTGATATTTTGAAGGATCCTTTTTTAATTCATCAATTTGCCTCTCATTCAGTCGGGTAAGAACAACATAAATAGGTCTGCATGTGGCGTAGAGTAATTGTGACTGTATACTTAACACTGAAGAAAAAATATGGATTATACATATATATGTATATAATCTTCCTATAAAATATCCAATAGATTTAATATTAAACTACTTTATATAATATTAATTATTTTTGAAATAATATAATCCTATTTTTTGTTTCTTTATTTATAAAAAGTATAATTGAGCCTATTTCTATATTTTATCATTTCATTTATTTTTTACTTCTCTCAAATTGTTCCTCTATTATTTCATTTGCATAGGGAGCAATGCAAAAAGAACTAATAAAAAATAAGGAAACAGAACAAAAAATATAATAGGTCCTACTCAATCTGTATTATGATTTTTTTTTAATTTTGGAAGTTCTACTAAAAAAAAAACACTTAAAGAGATTATAGAAATAAATGTAGTAAATACGTAAAATAAAAATGTTAGACAATATTGATATTAATATATATTATAATTAATATTTTCAACCGCATAAAAACGAACGTTTTGGCCTATATTCAGCCGTCCTCAGTGACGCAGCGATAAAATTTTTTTTATTACAATAATTTATATTGAGGAATGAATTATATTAAGCTGCACGTTTTTATTATTTATAGTCTATGTTGCTGAAGTTGGCTCAAACAACATAAGCTAAGGCTTTTTGTTCATATGTAATCTTTTAATTATTTTGTATACTATTTATTGCACTTATTCCGATAGCTTTCTCTTTAAATATTATATTTTTTGAAATTTTGATTATCAGAAGTTCTTTTAGTGTTATTTAATCCAGTTTTTAAGTCTTTTGTTTTAATGACATATGTATATGCCTAAAAAAAGTTATCAGTTCACAGTAAAATACGTACTTGGTTTGCTTTTAGAAGAATTCACAAATTTATATTGATGCACATAATGGTCAGTGGGTTTATCCCGATTCTGTTTATATGTCACTATCCATCTATCATTATCTATTTCTGCGTCCAGCCATTTTGGTCTACACGAATCGCTCAATATCGGCGCAATGACATGTCTTTCTATTCTATCTAATCGTTCCTGCTGCGTTTCTTCAGTCATAGCTTTTGACTTTTTGGTTAGCATTATGCCAGCAGGTGATGAGAATGGAATAGTGGCGAATTTTGTAAAATTAAGAGAACTCCTAACACGTCCAGAGGTGCGTCTGGCGATACCATCGGGAGCACTCACGTTTTTTACATCAACCGATTTAGATTCAATCTTACTAGATCGTAATTGGAAGTACTCCAGAAATTGATCCTGTTGTAGCTCAGGCTCGACCATGGACATATCTGGTGTGGACGAGCGCGAGCCACTACATCCACCATGATCTTGTTCACAGCATATTTTTTCATGTTCCTTGATAATTGCACAAATAGGAAAGTACAATAGTCAAGTATCATTTGTGCATATGAATTTTAGTTTTGCGAAAGAATAAATCAATACATCTGATACCTTCATATTTGCAAGGCCCACAAATTCAGCATCACAACTGTCACAAAGATAAATATCATCACATGGTGGTTGAACCATCATGGGAGCTTGTTTTGCTTTTCCATTGCTTGATGAAGATGCATTGTGAGATAACAATGTTCTTCGGGGGCTGTCATTTTTTCTGTCATAATGCTATAGGTACAGAAAGCTTTCTCATTCATTAAATCAAGGAGAAGTATAGCAAATTATTTGGAGCACTTGACAAAGTGACTATTCTATATGTTAGTATACTTGTAGATATATATACATATTTTTTGTACACACCATGTTTTCATTACGAAATGTTACTAGTAGTTTTCCTGTACTTTTGTGATACAGACTAGTTGTCGAGTCCCAATTATTAACATATTCTAATTCATCGTGTGGATATTGAGCTAAATAGGAACAAAAACGTAACAAATATTCACTTCTGTGATATGTGTAACATCGGAAAACCAATTTCTTCAGATTTGCCATCCAGTTCTGAAATGATATTTTAGGATTAGCACTTTTCCAAAAGCAGGACTTAATTAATAAGTACATAATGTTTTATAGTTGAGATATATTATTTGATGATTGCTTACATCATTGATCTTTTTAGGTCTCGTTAATGGACTTGAAAATTTAATATCTTGAGGCCACCACTCAGGTTTATTAATAACCTTAGTTGTGTCATGACCCAGTGAACAATGAACCATAAATAATATAAAACGTTCTAGTTGCACCTATAGAATAGTACTCATTGATATACTCAATTCACAGATAGAATATAACATAATATAAAATTTATTTTTTACCATTAAAGTATATACTCATTGTACTTAAAATAGATGTATATATTATATATAAATATATATACATATAATATATATATATATATATAGATGTATAATAATGTATATATTTAGAGCAAAAAATAAGTTTTAGTGCTGATCAATGCAGTGATAAAGAATAGATTTATAATGTAATAAAGTTTTATCATATCTTTGGATATGATTTCTTGAATTACAAAATATTTTATAGAGACAGTTAATTAAAAAAATACAAGTAGTATAGTCAATGTACCATGGTAATTTTCTCGAGAGATGTGGGATAACCATTAGCAAATAAAAGAGGAAGATTGGATACCATAGAACCTTCTTCTCTCTCTAAATTGTCTGTCCTTTTGTTATCTTCTCCATACTTGGTATTGTCCATCATGATTGCATCGTTAGAAACTTGATTTCCAGACTTTCTTATCTCATTTCTACTATTTTCTTGCATAGTCGAGAGTCTCATACCTCCAAAATCATCTATTTTGTTCCCCATTTAAAATATATCCACTGCATAGAAAGCCCTGCAGAATTTTATAGGTTAATAATCTCCACTCCATTAAACAATCTTGTTTAAGTTATTTACACAATTTTTTATACAAATCAATATTTTTAACAAAATTATAGCATTAAAGTAAAGTGAAAATAATTTTATGTGACTTATTCAGCAAATAAGCTTCTGATTTTTTAGAGTAATGCTGTCTCTTACAGGGATCATCTCGAACGAGTTTTAACAAGTGACATTTTATCATGTAATCATCGTCGACACGAGGCATTATTTGTTTAAGCTGTGGAGCTCGTCATAGAAGATAATAATCACAAATTTTCCGGTGTGAAGATGCAAAAAACATAAAACAAAATCGAAACTATACTCATCGCATATACCTTTCTTTTCTTGGCAAACCTTTATCTGCGAACTTGCATGGGGCTCAAAGCTCGTTCGCGATACATCGTCTAGAAAGTTTCGGCACCCTCTGAGTTACACTTTCCATGCGATGGCATAACCAAGAAGTCACTTGCGTTTTTTCCTCTCTTTTTCTCCTCACTGGAGATTGTCTGGCATTTACTTCAGAAATCTCTCATCGAACTATAAATGATGATTTGAGTCGAAATGACCCGGAGGTGGGGCGAAGCTCTACAACGCGATCTCGCGTAACAATCATCACGTATCCGTCAGGTCGCACGCGAATGCGAGGGCCATTTTTGGAACGTGAACTTCTTGTCCCTCGAATTGCTCTTTTCGCCCAAGTTAAGGTTCTACGAGGCGTCGCTCCCGTTTTATGGTGATCATTGTCGAACTATCCGTCGACCGATCTAATCGAAACCAACGGCACGAAAGGTCAATTTCTTCGACTCGAGGAGACGCTAGAAGGCTAGTGTTGAAACACTTGTCATCCAGCACACAGCAACTGCATTCTATCGAGAGTCGATCATGCGATTACAGCGCGGGATTAACCAGTATTGATTCTTAATAGGATGATCCTCGTATGAGTCCCGTAAGTCTCCGTGAAGTTGCGTGTAAAAATCGCGGAAACATAGCCCCACACAATCGTGCACAGCCGCGACAACGAAACGAGACTCTCTACTGTTGGTGACCGATTGACAGAAGAATCCCCTCTTCCACCGATGTGTGTGCGATGTGCCCAACACTCAAGATGGCGAGCACGTCATGCCAACGCGCGCGCCGCTTGGCGTTCACCTGCGATTACCACGCCAATAGCAGAGGAAGAGAGCATTTATATTGGCCGTAACCATATGCCGTATGCCGTGATCTGTAAGGTCGGAATCAGACTACGTATTGAAGAATGAGATTGAAGATTAAAAGATTAAAGTTTGACCAATCAGAACAAAAGGAGCCAAAATTTCTTTGTTCTCATTGGTAAAATTTCAATCTTTAATCTTTAATTTCAATCTTCAATGCATAGTCTAATTCTGGCCTAAGGGGCTTCACACAATAAAAGGAACAGAGAACAGAGAATAAGAATTTCAACCTATCAGAAATCATGTGTTGTGGAATAGCTTCTGATAGGTTGAAATTCTTATTCTCTATTCTCTGTTCTCTGTTCCTTTTATTGTGCGAAGCTCCTATAAATTGACTAATCACAGTCGAGTATTCCACTATAAGAAGAGAATACTCGAAGGTGATTGGTCAATTTTTACAGATTACGGCATACGGTTACGACTAATATAAACGTTCTCGAAGCTTACATTGCGAATCGCGGAGTTACTTCGGAAAATCTCGACTACTCTCATCGTTCATTACAAGGATTAAATATGATTTGGCTTTATATGGCTCAGGAATGATTTAGAATCTTCAATGTGGGACCCACACAATGGGACCGCGAAGCGTTCACGACAATGGGAAAGAACAAAAAGAGACATATAATAACATTAAGAGCAAAGTATATTGGTATTACATTGGGAAATATTGGTCAATGTATCTCCGATGTAAAGCCAATATTGGGTAATGATTAACGTACAATATTGGCTATACATTGGCATTACATTGGAAAATATTGGTTAATGTATCCCCAATGTAGAGCCAATTTGGATAATAATTGATATGCAATATTGGCTAAACATAGGTATTTATTATATAGCCAATATTGGCATTATATTGGAAAATCTTGGCCAATGTATAGTCAATGTTTTGTGCTACTAGAGGAAAAGTACATGCAAAAGTGAGTGCAACGGGCCGGCGATAGAATAAGAGCAATGCAAAATAAAAAATAAATTTTATGATATAGATGCAATATATTGAATCATCTAAAAAGTATCCGCGGTTTTTTGTCACTAGATGTGTGTTGATGGTCATATATCTAGTGACAAAGTACCGCGGATACTTTTTAGATGACCCAATATATAATATATAATATACAGATTGATGCAAAAAAAATGTCAGTTTTTTTCTGTTTTAAACTTTGATGCTTTACTCTATTATAAATATATAGTAACTTAAGTTATATTGGGTCATCTAAAAAGTATCCGCGGTACTTTGTCACTAGATATATGACCATCAACACACATCTAGTGACAAAAAACCGCGGATACTTTTTAGATGACCCAATATTTATGTCCATATTAATAAATATTATTTTAAAGTGCAGATTCCGCTCTACTTATTTATATCAATAACGATTTTTATTTCGGTTAATAAAGTATATGAACTGAAATATTATTTAAAGCTGAAGACTAAAAACCGACATTATTTTCGCATCAACCTAATAGATTAAGAGTATAGTTACTATAGATATAATTATATTTATATACGAAAATATTTGTATATACGTACATGTTGCTATGTATTAATGTGTACGTTCTCTATATATTGTTATATGATATTCTATAATTAATTAATATTTCAGGGAGTGAACGAGTATGAAATTTTGAATTAAAAATTTCTTTGCCAATTTTGACTTGCTCGATTTATTGATTTATTTATTTGTTAATATGAAAAATTAGAATAATTTTTAATTAATTAGAATAAGTTTTAATCGGGATATATTGGGTCATCTAAAAAGTATCCGCGGTTTTTTGTCACTAGATGTGTGTTGATGGTCATATATCTAGTGACAAAGTACCGCGGATACTTTTTAGATGACCCAATAGCAAGCGCGAGGAGTCTCATGGCATACTCATAGTATGCTCCTGCATGGTATACTCCGTCTACGTGCTACCTGATTGCGATCAACTTTAATCGTTAATAACTTTGTAAATAATGATCTGAACCAAAATTAGTAAAGAAATTTCTAGTTCAAAATGTCATCCTCTTTCACTCCCTGAAATATTAATTAATTGTTATGAAATACTTTGTATACATATTGGTTAATGCGAAGAATATTATCAGTAGTTAAAATCTTTCCAATCCTCAGTAGTTAAAAGATTAAGCATATCCGAGATCCCCAGAGATCGAAAAATCTGGGTGAGGTAATATTTGTCGCAATAACTTTTTTACACTTTATACATAAGATGCTAATAGCAAATTGACGATCGAAAATTAATTTGTGAGATTATCATTATTTCAAACGTTATGAAATAAAATATATGTTATGTGAAATATAAAGAATAGAAATATTTATCCCAATATCTAACTTTGATCGCTTATAAGAGTTTCTTGTTAAATAAGAAAATATATGTATATATAGGTAAATGTATATTTGGTATTGCATCATCGCATTATCCTGTCTATTTTATTTTACCTGCGTATAATAATTCTACTTTATTTGCATGAACATTTCCAAAAACGTGCTTGGGTATTTGCTTTATTATAGATAATGCTTTATTATAGATAGTGCTTTATTATAAATAATATTATCTAATAATTGTATTAAAATATTTATTATATAAATTTCTTCAAAATGTTCTTTCCTGTATAATTGATTATGTTGTTTTATATGACAGTAAGAGTTTACATGAGTACCCAGCAAACAAGAATGGATTAAAATAGATTAAAAATTTTTTTAATGTGTACTTTAAATTCATGAAAATGGATTGAATGGATCCGAGCTGACATTAGTTTAATATTAAAAAAAAACATTTATATTTAAGAGTTACAAATTTTATTCCTAATACATTATACCTAAAATTAACTACTTCAAATTGGTATTAAAAATTGCACCTTAGTGGGATTCGAACCTGGGACCTCTGGATTATGTGAATTTTCTACGTTATCCGCTACACTACTTCTTCAATTGGTAAATGTATTATTCATTCTCTACTTCAATTACAACCAGCTAAACTAGTCACGAAAAGATATAGATATAATAAAAATATCATTTAACAGACATAATAAAATATAAACAATTTACATTACTATGAGACAATATTAGGTAAGTGTCGGATAATCTATTCTTGTTTGGCCGATATCATGCGCCATGATTAGCCTATATTTGGGCTGTGTTCGATTTGGTTTGCGAGTATTCATATCGATTATAATGACTTGTTATCAGCAAATCGTTACAGTTCTCTTTTGGAACAGACAATTCTTGGAAAAACTCGCTTTTGCACAACGTACAATCTCTTACAACTCTCTCAATTCTGTCTTTGAATTATACTCTCAACTCTATCGAAAACGTACTCACGCTTAAAAACGTCTTCTCTTCCGGCACTCTCAGAACGCTCTCGTTTTTCGTCTCTCGTCTCTCAAAACTCTATCAGAAGAAGAAGAAGAATGACACGTGCCCTCGCGTTCTTCTTCGCATCTAACTCACGCCCCGTGCGCCCCGCGCGCCGCACGCACATACCACCTGCTTCTACCAGCACACTAGAGAGCTTCATAGGGAGAAAGTGGCAAACTACATCATGTGACCTGTCTCCTTTGATTGGGCATGGGCATCAAAGTTCTACAAGCATGGAAGAGATTAAAGAAAATTGGCCACGTGATCCCCATCCTGATTAGACATGGGCATTCACGTAATGCAATTTGCCATTCTTTCCCTGTAAGGCATATCTACGGCATATTGTCGGTAATGCACGCCTACATTAGTTCATGATTGGCTTCTAAGTTATGTAATTGCAATGACCAATCAGAACACCACGCTTCTTTTATAAATCTAGAACTCTAACCGTTCACAGCGGATTAATTATTGGAAAAAAATTTTAGACATCGGGCTGTGAGTAGCTCGCTAGTCCAAAGTAGAAACCCTAGAAAAACAGAGTCTGGCCTCAAAATGTCATATAAAAGTGAATATTGGGTCATCTAAAAAGTATCCGCGGTTTTTTGTCACTAGATGGTATTGATAGTCAACACCATCTAGTGACAAAAAACCGTGGATACTTTTTAGATGACCCAATATATTCTTAGTATTTGCACTTTACACTTTCGTATTTAGAAGTTAATTTCATGACGAGCTTAAACCGGAACGGATGTGTTTGTCTTATCTCGGCTGCGTCATCCTTAATTTTTGTTAAACCTATTGGGCTTTTTTTTTTATTTCGCATTTCTTTTTTTTGTTCTTCCACTGGTACCTTTTCTTCATGAAGGTGTGCACAGAATACATTTGATACTTTTTTTTAAGGTAAGAAAAATCTTCTTAGATCCCTTCATGTAGACTCCTATATTTATAAGAGAAGTGAGGACCGACTTATGTCAGTATTGCAAAAATACTGAAAATGACTGAAAAGTATTGAAAAGTACTAGAAGAAGTACTAAAAATGGCGTTGTTTGCAAGATGAACTAGGAAATCTATCAATCATCCATTAAGCAACCATTTTTACATAGAAATAAGTTTATCATTGGCTGCTAATCATGTGATTGCAATGACCAATCAGAACACTTAACACCAGTGCTTCTCTTATAAATCTAGGACTCTACTTTCATGGAGCGACGATTCCCAAGACGATTGTTCCACCGTGAGGAGGAAGACACCCGCGGGATTTGGCCTAATCCTTGGCTATAATGCTGGATTCGTCGTTCTTCTCCACCCTTTGAAGGGGAGATTTAAGAATGGCGTTTACTAAAAACTCCATTGCGACCATGCCTTGGCTATGCATTGCCAGAGAGGATCACCAAAGATATGCTATCGACCCCCCCCCCCTCCTTCTCCATGGTTCGACGCGACTGCGTCTCCTCCTCGTCAAATTTTGGCGGGAGAGGGGTTATTTCTCTCCTGCCACCACATAATTGAAAGAGGAG